ATCACTTCTATTTTGTGTTTCCAAAGATTATTTTATTAGTATCTTCTATGCGTTAGGATAGATTACAGGTTCTAAAATGATAACTTGTAAAAAATGCAATTTTTGGTCCCAGAGAGCTAAGCAGTCCCAGAACCATTTTTTTTTTTTTTTATCTTTTCTTCTTACTGAGCCGAAGAGCTGAATGTAGTTCAATATTTCTACATATTACTCTTCATGCAAACAGCTGCCAAGCTGCCATGAAAAGCTGCTACCAGAATCACGGGAACTTGGATGGACACTTGCCAGAGGAGGGATGTCCATTCTTGGATATATTAAACAACTCCACTGGATGTGTTATTTAGAAGCTGGGTTGGCTTCAAGGCTGACTCTGCTTTGAGCGGGGATAGGACCAGGTGACCTCCAGAAGTGCCTTCCAACCTGAATTATTCTCTGGTCCTGAGCATGCATGATTATTATGACATTTTCTGTCACATCTTATGAGAAAATAGCCTCAATAGAAGCTCTGTATTAGGTCAAGAGCTTATACAGAATTTATTCTTGTTGTTCTGTGCTCAGATTTTAGGTGATACTTAATATCTGTATAACATAAAATATTCAATAGTAAATTTAATCCTCCTAGTTCACAATTGATGCGTCAGATCAGCTGTTTTGCATGGATTTGTCAGTGTAATTTTTCTTGTCTTCTGACTGAGTAGAACATTGTGTAATTTTGTAATGCTGCAAGGGTAAGGTCAAATATTTTGTTGATTTCTGTCTTGTGTACTTGACTGTAGAGTGAGTTAATGATAAAGTTCCTTTGGGATACAAGCTTTCTCAAGAGATTTTTGTCCACTGAATCTTGAATACCGACATATTCACAGAAAATTCACCCAACAGGAATGCATATGTAGCTAAATCAAATGTATGTTTATATGTGGGTAAACATTCACAGGAACAGAGGCTTGATGTTGCTGTCCGTGCTTGTTTCATTTGTGTAAACCAGGAGTGACCTCATACTCCCAGCAACCAGTCACTTCTAGCTCCTCTCAGTATAGAGGAGTTATAAACTATACTATATAAACTATAAACTATATAAACTATATAAACTATAAACTATATAAACTGCTAGGAGTTCTAGCAGTTTACTGGAGTGTAGAAGTAAAAGCAGTTCTGTTACACTGGACCATTTATTTACTTTTATTAGTACTTCCCATATAAGACTCATGCATTGCTAAATTCTGTATTAAGGTAACTGRGAGCTTGATTTAAAAAAAAATACATCCTCTACATAGGATTTTTTTGCTTTTCTGCTTTAAAAAGTGCTTATGGCTTTGTTTTAACATTCAAATTCAAGAGTATCTTACTGAGAAGACTGTCACCCTCTCAAACTGCAGGTTTGATTTCTGTTTTTTGAAGAATATGGTTTTCATTTTCTGAAAACCTCCAATACAAATGCATATTTTCAAATAGCTCTGAGCTTGTTTGTATAAAGTACACGGTGCCCACCTAGTATTCTCTAACTCAATTAAAAATCTAGATATATTCTGCAGTGGAGTTCACTACAATTCTGTCAAAATTCATATCCAAATTTGAGCTCATGGGCATAAAATTTTTTTTTTCTTTTTTTAATGAGCACAGTGAAAGCTGATGTATAGATTACTGGTGATTTTTCTTGACAGCCAAAGAAAAGATTGGTCTGCTTCTGCTCACTGACAGTATAGTTTGTTTAATTTGAGCGCTCTCCAGTGTGTGTTACTGAAAGAGTTTTTGGCCTCAGATGCTTTGGTGTGCCTCTGTTTTCTAAATATCAACTTCCAGAAAGCTGAAATTTTAGTATTTGTTTTCTTTTGGAAACCAAAGTGCTACATTATAAACCATGGTATCTATCAGAAGCTGTTAGTTCCAGTTATGTATAATAATTCACAGATAAATAGCTAATATTGCATTCCTGAATATACTCTTTCTTGGAGACTTACAGATTTGAGTATGAAACCAGGCATGAAACAGAATCAGGAACTGGTTGTGGCTTTGAAAAAGAGTTTCACTATGGAAAAATTTTTGGAAGTAAAGATCATACGGTTAATCATCTCCAGATAAATGTTATTATGGATGTTACAACTGCRCTGATGACTAGAACCAAATACGAAACAGGCCATTTCCAGGCCTGCAACTCAGCCCAGCAGGAACTTTTCTAGAAAGTGATACTGCTTTTACGGACTAGCAGAAATGCAGTGAAAACTTTTCCTGAAGTTAGGAAGCATGGATATTGCATTTTTGTGGCTGTTCTCCCATGAAGATGTATCTGTAAAACGGACAGTGTTTCAAGGATAATTTGCCTTGCTCTGTGAAAATAGTAAGAAAAGTACTTCCCTTATCATGTCACTACAACTGATAAAGCTTGTAATATTAAAATTGAAATTCCTATTTCATTTTTGTTTGGAAAATTTTAGAAATGCCATCACATTTCATAGTAGGAAATATATAGAAATAAAACAGGATATATATAATACATGGAACAAAAATACCTGATTCCCAGTAGGGACAGGTAAAACACAAACATGTCTGTGAAGAGGGACGAGGTGAAAGGACTCAGAGTGCAGAAGGAGCTGGGGTTTGGGTTGAGCTTTGTTAGTTCTTCTGTTGGTCCTTTTATTAAATCTGCATATAGCAAATACAATAAAAGGGCTTGATTTCCAAAGGTAATTAGAATTTTCTGAAAATGTGGCATATTGTGAGCAACCAAAATCTGAATTCGAAAGACTCATTAAATATGTGTATTGGGGCTTTWTAGAGCCTAAAACTGAAGTTAAGGCAGCATATTCATTTTAAGAGGATTGTATTTGTGGTCTCAGAAGCTAATCACCATTCCCTCTTGATTGCTGATTTACTTGTTACTACTCATATTGGCTGTGGTAAATCACTGATATGAGGAAGACTGGACCTGAACTCCTGAACTCTCAGGAGTTGCCATTGACAAATATCTCCGTAAATCTCCCTTGGAAGTCGTGTGGCCCTATTCCAGTTTTGGCATCAGAGGTTGGAAAGGGCTGCTACCCTGTGTCTAATGCCTACAGAAAACGTGCAGTCAAGAGAACTGAGGAAGAAATACACAAAGTTTAACATTTCAAAAATTCCTGTGTCTCTCCACAATCTTTATTACAGAAGGTCCTTTAAGATTTTTGATGGAAACAAATCTAAAATATGTTATTACAGAAATGTCAAGTCTTCAACTCATTTTTTTACAGGTTTCCCCTGAAGCTGAAATACCTTAAGTATAGTTATTTACAATATTCAAAAGCAAGTGAATTCAGATATAAGCGAAGTCTCCCATAAAGGAAAAGCTTCAATCTAAAACATTAGAGCTATTTTGTAGCATCTATCTTTACTATTTAGTAGCACACTAGATAAAGTTAACTTCAGTCAAAATGCTCRTCTATTAAAATCAATTTAAAAATACATGACCTAAATAAATCTGAGTGGTCGTGAATTCAGAATAATGAACTTCATAACCATGTATATCATGGTAGCTTTGTAGGCACCACATTTCCACATATCCAAATAAAATTATTAGCGTGATTGAAGATATTTTAATTTGATTTCTACAAAGGCATGTGTTTCTTCTTTCTTCTGAGAATTCTTCTTTACTCAAGAAGCTAAACCTGTTTTTTTGTGTAAGTTCTAAGAAAGACAGGTCAAGCCTTTTAAAAATATGTCGTTAGAATTCTTTTGTAGCCAGTAATCAGTGGTTATARGAAATACATTACTCTGTCCTCTGCAGCAATGTGAATCATTCTGATAATGACTGCTAAATCCACAAAGCCTAGTGACTATTTTGGCTTATGGCCTACAGTTTTACATACACTTTATTAAATCTGCATGAAGAAATATCATATGGTGAGGCTTAGAATTATTGGTGTTAAGTATTTTTCCATACTCGTATTTCAGTAATCCTTTTTAAATATTGAAGTAAGTGTGATTCGCTCCAGCTGAGGCTCTATCCCCAAGCTGTTTTCAGTATGGTTACTTCCCATACGGCTTCCCTGGAACTGCACAAAGGAATCTAATAGCAATTGTCTCTTTGATATTACTGATAATCAGGCAGAAAGCTTTGAATTATTTCCATTAGAGGAGAGAAAATATTTGATGAAGTCTGTTTGTTATTTTTAATAACTTACAAAACGTAATTTCTGTGAACACAGAAGGAATCAAGTCACTGGAGTCTGTTTCTCTGCTCACATTTCTCAGTCTTTTTCCAGTCTTTTTGCTSTACTCAGAGAAGCTTCCACTCTTGCCTCTGGGCCATGTTACTTTCATAAATCTTCAGCATTTTAACTGTTTTTCTTCAATTATAGTTGTCTGTTCTTAGGTTATTTGTGCACAGATACACCTTCTTATACTTACTAGTATCAACACAATTCCTTTCTCAAGACTGATGTTTCTAAATACTCATCTTTTGGTGAGGTATCAGGCTTTTTCTTATTCCTTGTTACTAAAAGAAATAGTTAACAGCTTGCTCTGTGTGCCCTGAATGAAGAGTGACTGTCAGGCTTATCATGCCATGAATCATGTTTCCAAAGGTCTTAAAGGAGTGCATGGCTTAAATCATTTTGCCCCCTTTAAGGATAATTACGTGAAGAACTTTAAGCCTTAATCAAGGCCTAAGCCACCTTTTGGATGGACCTTATTCTTATTCCTCCAGACAATTCATGTTTTGTCCCAYACACTGACAGCAAAGTTATAGCAAAGAAGGGCTCACCTGGTGCTCTTTTAGGAAAGACCGCCGAGAGAGGGCATAACAAAATGCCTTTTGTCTACAGAGACTGTAACTCAGAATATAAAATTTCCGAAGTATATTACTGATGCTTTAATGAAAACTCTGAATGATTCCAAGAACTAGAGATCTCTAGCCTTGGACAATTAATAGTTTTCTAACAAGGAAAAGTGATTCATCTTCCCTGAAATATTCATAAAAAATCTCTACTTTGTCAGCATCTCTTGTCCAGAGCAGCCAAGTTCACAACTGTTAACAAGATCCCCCTAATTGAGTTGATAGCAAAGGGCAGAACAATTTCTTCTCCATTCATTGCCGGTGTCCTAACTAAATTCCAGACATAATCCACTGAAGACTGGCGATTTGCAATAAGGARTTTTCTACCTGAGAATACAAATCAGAGAGAAAGAAAACAAAGATCATAAACAGAAATTAAGGTGAAGGGAATTGTATAATTTGGAAGTCACCATGCTTTATCGGTCATTTTGAAAACAGTATCACATACCGTGCAAGTAACAACCTTCTCTATCCAGCCACAGAAACAGACAGGCATGTAACACACTGACCAATTTATTATAACAGGTCTCTCTATATTAGACTGATTGCAGAAATCCTGCTTTACAAGAGAATGTTGCAGATGACATTAAAATGTAGATGTTGGATACGTCTGCATTTTTCCAAGGCTTTATTCATGCTGAACGTTATCCATCCATCCATCTACCCRTACAGGGGATCCCACGGGCAGCCTGTGAGCAGTTGAGCAGCCTGTCAGGATTTTGCAGATAACACACAGCTAGACCGTGGCAGCTAATTTTGCCCAGTTCTGCGTGTGTCCTTTCAGGCTGCCAAAGGCATGTGTAAGCTGGCTTGCAGTGCCATTATTCAACCTCTTCCTGACTAGGGAGAAGCCATCTTTTATTATGTTATATACGGATTTATTCCTCAATAGAGTTGTTTTTACATTGTTCATTACAGTAATATTTGGTTGGTAAYTGAAGTAGTTTAAACTCCCCCTTGTTCTCGTACTATATGAGAGCACCCTGTGTGCGAGAGCATTTCTGTCATGAACTTCTTGTGCAGTACAGGAAAAAAAAATGTGCTGAATAGTATCGATTAGATTAGATTAGATTAGTATCTATTAGGACCGAGATCTGTACTGAGCTATTGTCCTCTCAGTAAATATAGGAGCTTTCTTCCTTCCGTACACATTGCAGCTTTCCTGTGTCAGTTTGTGGTCCACAAAATTCATGTAACCTGGGATATGTGGGTTCTACASATCTAGTGAAAATTCAGCTGCTACTGTGTTGTTTATTTAATATATTATATATTTTCTTCTGCTTACTTATAGATAAACTTCTTCCTCTGGCATCTTGTTGCCAGTTATGAATGATATTTAGAAAGCTCTTATAATCCTAAAATATCTTACGATTTTACAAGAATATCTATTTTGGATGAAGGCCAACCGCAATTCTGCCTGTCATACTTCTTTTGTATTTTGAGCTCTTCTTCATRATGTTCATAAGTCCTAAATTATCATCTAGTTTACTCAGCACTTCCTAAAACTGCTGTATTTCCCACTAGCAGCTGTGCACAGTAGGTATAACAGAGTAGGTGAACTCATCCCTATTATGTTTTAAATGAATGCTACTTTTCCCAACTTCCCAAAATGATAGATTCCTTAGTTTCTGAAATAACAGTTGCAGGAGTCTCCCGATCAGATGGTATTCTTTGTTTTTACCTCTGTCCATTTTGAATTATGCTCTAGAGAAATGGATCTGCATTCTGATCTTGTTTGTGCGAGTTCATACGCAGAAGCCCTTTCCAAAGAGGACATTGTGCACACTTTCAAATGTGTGACGTGTGTGAGAAGGCACAGAAGCCAAGCAACAATGAGGTAAAATGAAGAGAATAGAGTTCTTAGCATTGCAAGTACCATCTGTTCTGTAGAAATGCATCCTCTGTGTTGGCATTGCCACAGTGGTATGACATGTGTTATTACTTTTAATCGTACTTTGTGCTGAAGGAAAGTCTGGTTACATGACAGATTCAGAGGTTGCAGACTCCCTCGGAGTAAATGCCTGGAAATTCAAGACTGCTTAGAGTGTTCAATATTTTTGTTTCTGAAATATAATGACCTACATAAAATTATGCGACTGGGGACCAAGCTAGTAGGTCACATATTGCTGAATTAGTACACGAGATGAAGAAGGGAGCCAGTATTCACACAAAAAAAAGGGGGATATTTTCATAATATTCAAAAAAGCATGCTAAACAAATTGTCATCATTTTTATAGGATAGAAACTGTGGGGAGCTATTACAGGGTAATATTGCACACATATAAGGAAGGATATTTTTCCTTCAATTCCTTTCAAAGTCAGACTGTTTTTTTTGCTAGATTTACCAATAATAGCAATACTTTGTTTATCAGTGACACTTAGGAAAACAAGGAAACAGATCAAAGAGCTGCAAAAAMCAGGCCTTGCTGGGTTACCTGATGTGAAGTTCTGGCATATGTGAGAAGGAGGAACTTAGAGACCTAAGCAACGTTCTTCATGCTTGATAATAACRTTGTTTGTTTGTACAGTCCACCAGGACAGGTGTCTAATTATTGTCCCGCTCCTAATCACTGTCAGCTAATGCAAGACGTTGCTAATGTTGTCCTTATGCATTGAATAGACATAATCCATAAATAATTTACAGTGCTACTCAAGGATTAGTAACTTTAAATATTAGACTCACACACTCCAACTCTGTTTGTAACACACAGCCAAGTGATGTCATTGTTCTCTCTTGATTAGATCCCAGTTTTATGTCATCAACCAGCATAGACATGTGAGGATATGTAACTTCTCTATGTGTTGTCAGGAGGCTGTTACTAATATCTGGAGTCCAAGGTTTTCTGAAACAAACAGGAGAAACAGCCTTTTGGTCTTGTGTTAAATTCAGACAGCATGGCACCTAACTCATGTTACAGAGTTATGAGGGCCAAAACCACAGAAGTTTGGCAATTCAGTTAGAAACTCAAGTAGTTTTTTTGGATGAAAATTGAGATATCAGAGAACTGTTTTATCTGATAAAACGTGTAAATCAGGACTGTTTTGAATGCCCCAAAATATCTTTTTAATGGCTATTTTTCCGCATATTTTTTCGTAAAAATCTGTGGAATATTTCCATTTAAATGTTTATTTTGTTAACATTTTAATCTGACCTTTCCAGTGTCAAAAATCTTCTCATCTTTGCAGTAGACATCTGTGCCATGACTGCTACTTCTCTAAAATTCTACAGAATTCCAGACCATATAATGTTAATGAAAACATACAGTTTTAGCTTTATAATACTGGTTGTAAATGGTTAATTAAATAAAATCAGATTCTGGCAGTTTTTAAAATCATTATTATTGTTACTAGAATAAGCCAATAAAACTGTGTTGATAATACATGCCCTCATGAGTCACCAGGGAAAGGGCACTGTTGATTAAAATTTTCATTTAAAATATTGTCATGCGCTTTATTATACTCTTAAAAATGGATTTGTAATATATTTTTAGCTCAGGGCTGAGGAGGATGGAGGTTACAAATGTTATAGTTGGTATCGGCATGTACGAGTAACTTGTACCGCTAAGAGGGTAGGTCAGATGCACAGACCAAAACATGCTCATCACAGACACTGAATGGAGCTGCAGTACAGCACATGTCAAGAGCTAGGGCTCCCATTAMACACTTACTTGTAAAAAATGCAGCRTTTTACTTTTCCTTTTAATTGTCTCCTTCATTCCATTTGAAATTCCTGAAATTTCTAGCCCTGAAAAAAATAATGATTTAATTCATACCACGTTGCCGATAATCACATCATTCTAGTCCTTGGGAGACACAGAAGGGAAGCRTTAAAGTCTACTCACTATTAAACATCAAGTATATTAATCTCTTATGATTCTCAAGGAATAACCACAAACACAGCAATATTAAATAATATCTAATTATAAAAAGTAAACAAATATAGCTTATTTCTGTATTTCTAGACTATTTTCAGCAGACAAATGGAGTTGTTTGAGTTTTATACAAATATCAGAAAATGACAACAGAGAAAATATGGCACTCAAGTAAAATGTGGGTCTAATTCTCCAGTAGTAGCTCTAATTCTGGACAAAACAGACATGAAAATTCAACTTTTGATAAGAAGCCTTTCCAAAYATGGAGATATTCACCTGGTTCAGGATTCTCTCAATTTTATATCATGTCTTTCAAATAAGTCTGTATGGGGCTTGTAGCTGTAGCTGAAATTTGCTGGAAAGTAAGTTAGATATTGCTCACTATGGACATTTGTGAATGCATCTGAACATCTTTGCTTTTCTGGCCTTCAGGAGGTTTTTAAATAAGTTGGCTTTTACCGCTTGGTAAAATACCACTGGGTTAGAGACCTACYTTATAGGGAAACAGGTCAGGGAGAGAGTTCTAGGCTTCCTTCTTGCTTATGTACGATTTAAGTATTACATAACACCAAAATGTAAAGTTTGTTCTTTTTCTGGCAAAAAAAATATAATTTTCTTGTTACCTGTGGAGTTCTATTACCAGCTTATGCTCTACTAACAATCTAGTGATTGAGAAAAGCGTGCAGTTCATGAAAATGTGTTGAAAATAAAAGGACAGGGCTTCCAAGGTTTTGAGTGCTCCTGAGACCRCTCTGCTGCTGATCTTGGTATCGAAAGTTCCAGATCCTGACACTGGCAAATAGATCCTTCTTCATGTTGGTCCTTAATATTATGGCAGGAGGGACACAGCGAGTTAAACAATCCATATTTCTACATCTTCAGTGGCTCCAGTCACTGAATAAAAGGGAAAAAGAGTGCAAATATTAGAYGCCCAGCTTGACCTCCAGCCTCTCTGAAGTCAGGTCACTATGTTACGCACTAGCTGCAGCTTTGGTATGCCCCTCATAGGCTTCCCCAAAATGCACGGGCTACAATTATTCAGTGCAGAGACTGCACATCTCCCTGGGCTGTCTGTTTCCTCCAGCAGTGCTTGAAAATGTGCTATTATTGAAAGAGTTAAAAAAAATCCCCTTGGAAAAGCTAATTATTGCATGCACATACTTCTTTGTCTGATCAAGGAGGGGACAATTTAATAGGCTCTGTAATACAACCAAGAACAAAATTGCTTTAAAGGAAGTCTCTTGTTGAGTGACAACTCTGTTGCCTGAGCCAATTAGGTCCCAATAAAGAGTGTTGAATTGGCTCCTGCTTTCTCATTAATTATGTTCTGTCACAGACATGGGGCTTGATTTAGCAATTTTGTATTACATTAAGATACTGAAAGGAATGGAACAAATGGCTCACTCTGATAATAGGCATTCTATACACGGTGTGACATTTACTATCCAGCTGTCCATAAGGCAGCCTAGCACTTCAGTTCAGGGGTTTATTTGTCATTGCTTCAAAGGGACACTCAGCTTTTCACAAAAAAGAAACAGAGAGGCTAATAGATAGGACAAAATGTACTGCTGATATGCTTTATTAGAGATAGGATGCTAGGGTTTTGCTAACAAGCTCATCCGTTGGGACTAAGCCGAGTTTGCTGTCAATCATCCTACACACAAAAGCACACTAGTTAACAAGGAGAAATGAATTACAGACACTTATTCCTGCCTGTGGGATCACAAATACACCAATCTGTGAAAGAGGCACAAACTCAGAAGACAAACTACATATTTGTCAATAACCTCCTAGAAAGAACCCTAGTAATTCTTTGAAGACCTTTGATTTAGCTTCCCTCTAAAATACATGTATAGGAAATGTTTTAGTTACCATGACATTTTTCCTTTGTTACTCGTACAGTTTTTCTTCACATTAAAAACACAAAACTGAGGAGGTCTGCAAATGTTGTAGTAGGTATATACACTGCTTTTTATACCAAGCCACAGGGGGCAGCTGCTGTTGTAATATTCATTAAGAGCAACAGAAAATTAAATCTTACAAACTTAGGGTTCAGGCCATCATGCATCAATGTGGAGAGCATAATCTAAATCCCAATTTATAGCTTAAAAAAAATTAAAGTAGTGAGATTTTTATTTTCAGGCTGCATTCATTTTTCCACTCTCCATTATATGTTTACTTGAGGAGATCTTATCTATTGCTTGCATTGCACTTCCAGATTTGGATGCAAAGTCTGTATGTGTATTTACTTATGTAGGGAAGCAAGTATTATGAATATATACATAGTTGTTTGTGAATCTTGGCATAATTATTCGATATTGCTTTCATCTTCTTGTCAAAGCATTGGTGTTTGTAATATAACATGTCCAGTGTCACTAAAAACGCTGCAAAGCTCTCACAAAAAGTCTTCCTTTGAAAAAGAAGAGTTCTTAGTATAGTGGGAATTTATTTTGCAAAATTTTAATTGCATTTGAAGTGATTTCTGTGAACAACTCGGGATTTGGAACAGCAAAGAGGAACAAAAATTGAGTATTTGCAGAGATAATTAAGGTTATTTTCTAGACAGAAATGTGCAGTTAATAGAGGCTTTAATAGTGTTTATATTCTCTCTGCCATCAAAATCTTATCTAAACTTAAGTGACAATTTCCATCATTTTCCATGTTTGGGGGATTTTCTGCATTAATTTTTGTAGCTTCACATGTACAGAATAGCATTTCTGAGCCTCTATTATCGTTCAGTGAGATTTCCTGTCTTGAAATACCTTATTTTTACACTATAATTAAAATTCCTTACCTTTTCGGATGATCACCCCGTGYAATTAGAAGAGGTGTGGTAGGGATGTTCATTTTAGAATATTGGATACAGTCCCAAACACTACAGATTTGTGATCAGAGGCTTGAGCTAACAACATTTCCTCAAAAATGTCAGGTTTGCTCCTTCTTCACTGAAAAAAAAAAAAAAAAAAAAAGTTCTTTTAAGTTTCCTTCTTCTTTCTCTGCAGTTGCTCATGTTGCCAGCTGGGAGTGTGAAGGAGTTACTCCCTTAGAAGTTGCCAGAAATGAATATTCTTGAATAATCAGGAAAGAGTAAAAGAGTTTGCAGACTCCCAATAGCCCCCTCCCCTTTGCTTATGCCTGGGTTAGCATAAAGGAGCTGCTTCCCCGGCAGTGCGGGCAGGGCCATACAGAGAGATTTCCCCATCTGAAAAGCTGCCTAACACACTTGAGACCCCTCACGTAAGTAAATTGGAAGAACAGTTTTCAGTTCTTAACAGAGTCCTCCAAAATAATCTGAAATTTTCACATGGCAATCACCTACTGCAGTGCATAAACAAAGCCTTAAAAACAAAGCCATAGCCAGCTAGTGGCCCATGCTACTTACGACCCATGAAAGCCAGACTGAACCTAGTTATTATTTCATAGATTGTTGCCTTTGCATCATACTTTCCCAATCCTAAATTAAGTATTCTGCTATTTCTATAATGAAACTGTTATGAACACAGAAAAGGAAATCAAACATATTAGAAAATATACTGAAGACTCAGTGTTTTCAGCCTTGCAGTCCCTGTCTCCTGTCACGCAGGTGGTAAGGATCACCGGTTCCATTATCTTGTCAGASTCTGTGCTTGCCTTAATTTCAAAACTGCTGCAGCTCTTCCAAGTTTAGTCAGCATTCCTATTAATTCCTTTTAATGCTATAATTCTTACTAGTTACCATTTATAAACAAAACTGTAGACATGTATATCTTTGAAAAGCAACAGTCAGTCATTTGAGATTCAATAACTTCAAAAACAGCTATATTTGAAAATCCTTAACCATATTAACCATATATAGCCAGAAAGTCCTGTGGAAAATAACTTGACTTCCACTTGAGGTCTTATTGAATTAATTTTTAAACATTAACATTAACAAGACCAAGAATTCTTACCTTGGTCTCTCAGTTTTTGAAAAGTTGCCCCTGGGCAGACACGGCTGCACTTTGTACAGAGACCCTAGCTCTGTAGTCCAGGGAACACAGCATGGGAAGGGTGAGAGGAGTCACATAGAAACCTGCCTCGCTATGAGACAGGCAYACAGCCCCAGGGCTAATGGCAGTCTGGCTTGGGCCACAAATTAGAGAGGCTTGAGGCTGCTTTTCCTGACCTCAGGAGGTAACGAAGCCCCRCGAGGCAGTTGCAGTAGGAGCAGTTCCAGCCATGCCCAAGCGTAATTGTGGCACAAAGTCCCTCTCCCAAGATTTGGCTGCAGACAGGAGTGACATAAAGCCAATTATTAGAAATTGTCCCTGCCTGAGATTTTCCCACAACGCAGTACTAAGGGATATACTTAGCTGGAAGAGGGCAAGTGGGCCATCCTATTTGATGACAAAATCACTACTTAGAGCTCCTCCTTTGAAGGCAGTCTCCTTGATGTCTCCATGGAGAATGTAGAGAGCAATTCTTTCCAAAGATAATGCGGAGAGAGACTCTAAACTTAGGCACTGTCAAGAATTCTTGCAAAGGCCAAGCACTCGCCATTGACTATACTGGGAAATTCATGCAGACGGGCTTCCCAAATTAGATGACTCCAGGTACCTAAGTTTGACACTGAGAATAGTACATAAATCACATAAGAGTCTCATTTACAGGTAATACCTTTTCTTTTAGTAGAATGCCTTTTAGTTTAATAAATTGTAACATTCTTGAAAGAATGTTTATATGAACATGCTTTCAAGCAGAAAGCTTTCAAGTGTGAAAACCAAAGCAGCAAATTTCTAAGGTGAACACAGGTTAAAAGTAATTGTTCCCAGTATCACTAAATACTTCTATTTTTGTGCCGTGAAAGAGAAAATATATTTGTCATCAAATATATCAGTTTTCAAGCTCCTGCCTGGACGAGATTCCATAGGGTCCCTCAAAGGCCAGAACTGAGGTGCTATAAAAGTCATATAACTTTTGTAAGTCATGTTCTCCCATTTCTACCTGGATATTTTTCTCCTTTATTTATCATTGTGGAACATAGTGCTGTTCTACTTTCACTTACCATCCAGGTGAATTTTAGGCACTGTTGGAATGTGTCAAATATTAAAAATGAAAGATATGCCTCAACTGCAGCTACCAGTTTCGATTTCAAGGCTATGTTGTAGGTTGTTGTGGCCGTGTTATAGAATCTCAATGGTAATACTAATGCGTAAGAAATAATAACTAATTGCAGTTTTTGTTTATGAATTGATGCAGTGAAACACGTTAGATGGTATATCTTCTCTAAAACTGAATTATGCTAATTAGCTAATAATACAGCTCCCAAATGATTTTTAAATAGCTGTATTTAGATTCTGACTCATACAAGTAGCAAGCTGTTACTTCCTTTGCATGAGTTACAGTGAGTGATTCAAAAAGATGTGCATGACTCAAAAAGAAAAGTTCAAGTTTTATATAATCATAAAACACTGCTTAGGCAGTCCAGCTGAAATAGTAAATGGAAAGCACTTAAATTCTTGCAGGACTAGATATTTATATTCTTTAAGTATATAAAAATAGGTCCTGCAGCTTTAATTTGACACATATTTAGTAAAAATGCACACTATTTTATACATACAATTGTTTCATAGCTAATGTAAGCTATAAAAAGAAAAAACAAGAAAAATAAACATTTGTATCTGAACCTGGAAACAGAAAAAAACCTGCTTGGGGTTTTCTGGCTTGCTTTCCACCATGAATCAGCCACAAGTTACCCTAGAACTATCTGAATGTGCTCAAATAGCTGACGCAAGACAACAAAAAGCCTCATGGCATAAAGAKGGAAGCAAAACAACTTAAAAAGAAAATGTGACGTGCCATAAAGCTTTAACACATAACTGCCTAGTGTCCATTTTTTTTCTTTTTTGGCCAGTTCAAACAGTTCCTCAGAAAAAGCCCAGTTGTTTAAATTACTCTGAGGAAACCTCAAAAGAAAATCACTTTAAAATGYATATTAAGTTTTAATCAAGAACATTCCTGTAACTGTAAAATAAATAATTTTGAAAAAAAAACCTGCCTAGAACTACCATTCCATAAGAGAATTTTCTTTTTCTAAATATTGCCTAAGAATATGAGACATAGCAGGTGTATAGATCTGTGTTATCTGATCTCTAGAACTTCAAAGAACTAGACATAATGCCAACGTCTCATCCATTATACATTGATGGTTTAACTAATCATTAGTCTTTAATCATTAACTAATCATTAGTACTGATTTCCCTTTTAGTGTGACAGTGTGCATATAAACATTTATCTCAGAATCAACCTAGACAAAAATGGGAATATTTTAACCTGTAGTAAACATCAAATTATGTCCTCATTTTACAAATTTTTTACTAAAGAATAAATAAGTATATGGAATAAAAGTGCTTGCATATTTAAGATGAGTAAGGTTCATTTTGATTTTCTTCAGTCATCTAGTCTTCTCTCAAGAGCCTAAGGGGAATTTGTATCTGTTATAGCATTTGAATACCAAGGCAGCAACCACCATTACAAGAAGCGTTATTTCTTCTTCTGAGTAGCCTTACATTTTTAGATATTTTGGAGAAATMTGTGATTAAGTATCTAATTTATCAGCCTTAAGATGATTTTGTGGGCATAGATACAGCAATTTAATTATGCTTCCCTTATCTACAGAGAATTCGCCTTTGGAAGAGATTTGGTGGAGCAAAGGTATTCCTGTGKGCTCCCTGAATCTCTCATGGCTGGKTTAAACTGAGAAATTCCAGTGATTACTGCTTTACTTTCACTGCYGGGACTGAGAGAATATAGAGAACAAACAGGTTTTGATGCAATACTGTGGTATTATTTTTCAGATCTCACCTCATTCTGTGATCTCTTGCTGTCCACATGCAAAAGGCAGGACAGGAAAAGATAATGATAAATTACCCCTTCTAACAAGTGTCCTTATAAACCTCTTGAAAGAGCTTCATTTTTTTTGCTTTTCAAGATCTATTAAGAGCATTCAACAGCTCTATGCAAAAATTCCCGCAAGGAACGGGCCGTTTCATGGCTTTATGTCCCTACAAGCTGCACTGAATTTTAAAGCTGAGACAGTGGGATATATCTAGATAATTTTCARTGAAAAGCTTTTGTGAAATATATATCATTTTTTGAATATTTATTCTTCTGATACCTGATATTGAATTAAGTTTCCTTATGATGTCTCCACTAATACTTTTAAAAGTTTTATACTTTTAAAAACTTTACATTCTAAAATTTATTTAAATAATCTGCTAACTCCCCTTTAGAGAGCTAAGTGTAGGTGGCCAGAATCCAGGGKCCTTGTGACCACAGCAGCATTTCACTGGCCAGAGAACCACACTCCTATCTCTATTCTTGTCCAGACCAAGTGATCTTTTTTTATTCTTTYTTGATCTTTGGCAAAGTTGTGAAATATTCCCCAATAAGGTTGACCTTAAAAGCTAAGATATCTTGGCTTCTGTTGTACAGTTTTCAACAGTGATGTGCTTCCATACTTAGGAGCCAGTTGCACACCGTTTCCACCTTACCCGTACAGTTTTAGCTCATGCCCTGATATTTTGTTCTAGGTAGACAAATCTGCTCTGAGCCTCTTAGAAGAACTTGTGGAAGCATGTTTCGGGGGGATTGCCAAAGACTTCTTGGCAGCTCAAGGAAACTACGGATAGAAGGAGAGGAACTAACCACAATTCTTTGGAAAACCTGAAAGAAGTGAACAGATACTGACAACACATGCTAGACCTTTTCTCAAGAAGAAAGCCAGATACATGCTCTGATCTTGCTCTTGCTCCAAAGGCAGAGTCTGAAAAGCAGTAACAACACAACTGCAGCAAGTCAGCAGAGGGAATCCTGGCAATGGTTGTGAGGAAGCAGAGACAGAAAGCTGTAGCTGATAGGAGCTGTTGCCACAGCAGTTCCCCATCTGTGGCAGGCGCTATGCAGTACTTGACAAATATGT